CACTCCTTTGTAGATGGTATTCCCTTCAAGTGGTTGGTGATCATGTTGTTTGTTACACTTTCTTCCGTTGAATTGGAGATACATTTGTTGTGAGGTAGTATGGACTTCCATGCCTTTCTTGAAAAGCTTTTGATTTTGGGGATCTCTCATACCACCGACTTGACACATATCAAAATTGGCCTTGTAAGTCCCTTGGGCTACTTCATACAAGTATGGAGTCTTCAGCATCAGGGATCGGGCTGGCTGTTCCCAATGCAAGTGTCGCTGGTGAATGCATTGGTACCTGTACAGTACAAGTCCGAGTGCCAATTGATATAAGTGCTGGTCACGCTGCTCCTGAACATGTTGGAAACCGGCAACACTTTGGGATTCGTTCAGAAAGCTCCATGCACACCATGGTCCACAGGTCGGGCTAAACCAAACATGTTGAGGTCTTGATTCGAGAAGGGTTTTGAACAACTGTTGTCTCCCTCCTTTGCTACTCAAATCACCTTCTTGAATCCCATGGCGGCTTGCACGGTATCCTAGTTGATTGACCTGTCTGGTCAATTCGCTTTCAGGGCTGCAAAACACCTCAAGCACTTGCAAGCGTGGTTGGTGTCGGAGACTGTCCCATGTTGATACTTCATTTAGTTCGGCAGTGAATTGTGACACAAGGTTGTTGAATTTGGATTGTATGTAGTTCATGTTGTATTGATGATTGTGATCAGGATCAAAATCATATTCCCAGTCTCCGGCATTCAGGAGGTGATCTAGGGGGCTGCTTGGTGAGTCTGCCGCACATGGTTCAGAATCTCGGTGAGCGCGTTCTCCACATTGAGGACTCGGCTCTGCAGAGCATCGATCATCTCTTGCTGTGGGCTGATCATTGCGGCTGTGGGGACATCGTTGTACATGACATCCCATGGTTCCCATGCCTCCCCCTCCTCGAAGATCTCGCTGGTCATTGGCATCACCTGTGCAGGGCTGGCTGCTGCCTTGCTCTTGGGCTGTCCCTTGGGGCGTGGACGGATCACCTCTTGATTGGTCTCCCGAGCTGTCATCGGGGTCATGTCGTAGAGGGTCTCGTGCTGGTTCACCATGGTCTCGATGTAGATCAGGAGCTTCTGATGTTCCTCCTTTTGACTGGAGGCATATGTCTTGGCAAACCACCGGATCCACCCCTTTTCCGATCTCCACATCTCCTCGTATGTCCGGCCGACATGTGCTCGACCGAAAGTGACCTTGGACTCTCCCATCTCGGCAGCTGTCAGCGTGCGAAAGGACTCCACACTTTCTGGGTTGCCCTGGGACAGCACACGGTCCAATCGGCTGGTGAGGCTCATTGCAACGATCGTGAGTTGATCGAACCACCTGAAGGAACTCGGCTGGCAGTGGCTTGGGCCTTGAACTTTCCATGGTGATGTCTTCGATTCTGGGCTGTGTGTTCCGACATGTTTCATGGATTTCCTGGCTGTTGTGGGCACTTGTGGGTGTCTTCAGCTTGATGGTGGAAGCGGATGTGTTTACATGACTGTGTGACATGTGTGGCATGGTCTCGGCTACTTGTGGATTGGACATCACTGGCTTTCTGTCATCGCTGTTGGCATTTTGGCACTCGAGAAAATCGCTGCTGTGGAAGGTCTCGGCTGCAGGTCCATCTTGGCCACTGTGCTGTCCGTGCTGTGCTTGAATCAAGTCATTGATATCAAGTAGATACAAACCCCTTGGGCTTAGCTTCAGTGGAACTGGTTGAGTGAACATCGGACTGGTCAAGACCTGCTTGGCACTATCAATGCTAGCTTTGAGAGTTCTTACCAACGTATTTGAAAGAAGCAGTGGTGTTGCGCCTGGAACAACAGCTACCTTTAATCCCAAACCAATTGCATTGAGGGGAATTACAAGTGCATGCTGACTGTCTAACGTTCCTTGGTTCCCGAACCTGAACGTGATTTCACAGGTTGTCCTGCGCAACTGCTTCTTGACATTGGCCGGAAAACTCTCGATCAGAGCTGGCAAGTGGCTGCTTCCTACAACAGACTTCGTGGCACCCGTGTCTAAAATGCCATAGGTGCCATGGGCAGAAAAAAAGGCTACTTCACTGTCACTGGCTTCACGGAACGGCTGCATCATCACAGGTTTCGCAACGGGCAAATCACTCCTGGGACGCGACTGGCAGCGGCTGCTGATCATGTTCTTTACCCCAAGGTTATGGTTATTACCCCGTTTACGGATGCGTTCCCGGATTTCATGGGGAACTGAACTAACAGTGTTAATTTCATGCAAGCTAGGCACATCAAGTGACGTCTCATGTACCACAGGCAGTTGGACGAACTCCATAGGCAAAGCATTGGGCTCCCCTTCGAAGGAAACGGCTTCGGCAGTCATCGCCGCCGATGTGCTGGTTGATCCGGTCGATCCTGCACTCTTGGCTCTGTCAGGACATTCCGCTCGCCAATGTCCCTTACGTCCACAGTTTCTACAGGTGCTTTCCGTGATGCGCTGTTGAAGGCTTTTTCTGGGTCCACGACTGAAAGTTCGACCTTTTCCCTTTGGGAATCCAGAAAACTTTGACTTACCTTTCCCGGCCCCGATCGGCCAGAAGCCTCTGTTCTTGAAACGGTCGGACAATCGTTTGCGAGCTTCACTGTATGACACATATGCTGCAGCTAAGTCTTCATCGGCATCCTGAATCAACTGTTCTATGAACTCATCTTCATCCATGTCATCAGCTACAAGTGCAGTATTTTCGAAATCAACACCAGCTACATCCTCACTCAGCAGTGCTTGTTGGTCATAGATCTTCCCTTTGGTTTTCTTCATTCCAATCATGTCATGAAAGAAACTGGTTCCAAGCATTCGGACTGACTGACTCACCTTCTCGATGGTCAGAACACCTGTTGTTGCAGATTCACTTTCAAGGATGACTCGCTTTTTGTCTTCTGAGCTAAGCAGTGAACCTCTGAGAACTATGTACGCCTGAACCTGCTCCAAGTCGATTTTCTTGGCTTTCAACTCGGACCACACAACGTCACAACGGGCAAGGAAGGAATCGTTTGTTTCATCCTGTCGTTGAGTACATTTGAACAAGGCCTTCTCCACAATCTCGTAAGTTCTCTCCAAGTTCACCTTTCCCCACTGACCTCCTAGGGTGGTAACAAGCAATTCAATGCCTGCTTTATCCCCAGTCATCAGCTTACTGCGGCTCAACTGAAGCTTCTGAAATGCACTTCCGGTCGTGTTCAGAATGAGGCGAGTTACCAATTCATTCATCTTTGTTGCAGGCCAAATCTCACTCAAGAGCTCAACCTTCTGCGTGTACTGCTCAAGGTCGTCTTTAGACGGGTCAAAGCTTGGAACTAGCATTGCCATCTGAGTCGAGGTTGCAGTGTTTCCCTCGGTAGAGTCCCCTCCATTCTGGGACATTTCAACTGACACTGGATGTCAAAAAGGTTTCCCCGGAGCAAGTGTTGGTAGCTCCGCTACCAGTGTGATTGGATCCACACTGGTAGCTTCAGTTCCCACCTCAGCAATGCGGTCGCCACCTTTTTCAATGGCCAGCTGAAGTCACGGTTGCAGCAAAACGGCACGTGCTGCCAGAAAGGTCTCGAAATGGTGTCTGCACCAAACCAAGCAAAGTGTCAGCCACGACACGTAGCGACTGTCCACAGTCTATGGCTTCAGGTTGCTAAGATACCCACTTCCACCCACCTACTGGCTCGCCTAAGCCAAAAGCAACTGTGAAATACCGGTTGGTTCCTGTTAGATTCACCTGAGATCTGGATGGCATCACGGGGGTTATGTAAAGTATGACAAATGACTGGGATCATTGATACATTCACAATATGTATATATATATATATGTATATATATATATATATGTATGTATGTATTTTTAAATACGAATATGTATATATATATATATATGTGCGTATGTGTATTTATATATATATATTTATTCATTTATTTGTATGTATCTATAATATGTGTATATATATATATATATATAGGAAGTAGATACATAGCACATGTATATATGATTATAGGTAGCACGTAGGTACTTTGAGGGAGTATGTGTGCTACGTAGGTCGTCTAAAAGGTAGCATGTACCTAGTAAATGCGAGGCTGGTAGTCAGAATCGCTGCAAAAACCTAGCAAATACGAGGCTGGACCTCAGAAATGCTGCCAATAGCTTGCAAATAGAAGGGAAGGGGGTGCTACCTGGGGGGTGCTACCTGGGGACCCATACCATTGGGGGGGGTAGGAACACGGAACACGAGACCATATATATATATTATGTATATGTATATTATATGTATATTTATATTATATGTATATGTATATTATATGTATATGTGCGCGTATGTTTTTCATGTTCGGCATCATAAAGCAACAGAAGTTTATGAAGATTATGAAGTCATGAAATCCGAGAATCAAACTATATATATAATATATTAATCATGCATATAGAACTCATGTTGCGTTGATATGGCATGAAGTGTAATGTGATGTAATGTATACGTACTAGGCATCACGAGGTATGTACATGTCTAGATCGGACGCTATCAAACAGCTTATCGATGATAAGTCATGTTTGTCTTTGGTTTTGTCAGTCGAGGAGATAATCAGACTTGTTGATTCTTTAACGTGTCAAGTATTTTATCAAAAATGATATTCCCCAGACACGATTGCGCGAATCTCAGCTAGAAGATCTAGTAAATCTAGTGTTCTTTGAAATCTTTGGTGTGAATTGAAAAATTACTCAATCTTCCCAGGAAGGTCACTGTACGTGACATGGCAGAGGAGAAAAAAACAACTCAGCAGTCTACGCTTTTTGTTTTCTTTCTATACACTGGGACCGGGAATCACCTTTGGACTCTAAAAACGTTCCTCTACTGTAAGAATCGCATCAAATTCAAGCTTCAAAAACGATATGCAAGTGACTCCTGATCTCCCACCATGTTCGGGAAGGTCCTTAGTCCTTTATTGCAGCAAATACTTAAAACACACATACACTTGGCCTTCTGGGCAAGGACAGGCAGAAATCCCGGCCGCCACAAACAAAGCAGCTAGACCACCTGTCCAGAAGCCGCCATAGATCGTTACTTCAGTCAAGAATGGGACAGAACTACCCGAAGCCAACCCAGAAATGGTCCAATCTAATGAGTCTAATCTTCATGTCCAAAATGTTTGAATGCATCTGCCTCAACAGCATTGCGAAGATTGCAGCAATCCATGGCCAAGGAGGTTGCATCTTGTCACGATTGAATCGCACTGGCGCTAGCCATGCGGAACACTCGTTGGACCTTCAAAAGTGACTCAGCCATGCTATCTCTAAGAAGTGTTCAAGATTGTTCAAGTGCAGGCATGGCTGTGATTCAAGTTGGCTCCACATGATTCCACCTCTATGAATCTGTATTGTGTCTTTTTACGTCTTGTGCAGGCCAAACAAGCTGAAATGAGCCAACATGAACATCAGCGTTGTCCAAATGAAGCATGGTGTCTCCATGAAAATTGAAACGCGACTATATATGTATATGTATATATATATGTATATATTATTCGTACATTCATTTTGAAGTTCATCGGTGCACCTTCCAAGCTCTGCGATGCTCAAGTGTTGTGTGAGCTGTGATCTGTTTCACATCGCCTGAGAATGTGACTTGTTTGACACGATCTGCCGTAATTGTCCTGCGGGCATGGCCGACTGCGCCCAACCTGCGCGCAACTCTTCGCCACGGATGTGTCCCAAAATGGTGCATACCCATGCATACCCCCCAAAAGGCCAGCTTTAACAGGGATAATAACAATAATTAATCATGTTAATGACTGGATCTGGAAGAATATGTTCAGACAAACCCACAAATTTAGCTAGTGAAATTTCAAGCAACAAAAAAAGCCACCCCAACGAGATGGAAAACAGTTTTTGATGCTGTTTGATCCAACAACCAGGCCTCTAAAAGCCAGTGACGCTTTTAGGGGAGGATGCACAGCTAGTGCAAAGCTGAGTAGCTGCAGCCGGTGACCACAGGATTTCATGGGATGGTGACTCCGCAACTGGTGTCTGAAGCCTCGCTTCAAAACATGCGTGCAATTCCATCTTGGCGAATTGCCAAGTTCTTACTACTTGTAGCTGAGGGTTTGTTTGGGCAATCACCACTTTCACCATTCAAATTGTAAATTTGGGGGATCCCTTATTACTTCATTTCGGACACACCCATGAATATACTTCATTTCGGACCGTGACTCCTGCAACATAGAGCAACCTTAGCACCACCTGTGAGTGAGCACACCGCTACCACGTCCAGGAAGCTTTGCTAGTGAAAATGAAACTAGAATTCCAGGCTCTCTTGTCTTTTCACGGATAATGGTGGTGACAATGTACTTTCCAAAGGGTCAGACCAAGAGTGCCTATTCCTTTAGTTCCTTGGCAGTTGCCTTGTGCAACACCCAGGCATTTTTCAATTAATTAGCTCCGCATAGTTCAACTATCTCAAATTATCCGCTGGCTTGGTCACGCCTGAGCGAACCGTGCATGACACAACCCACGGTCGAAGCAAAACAACCAAAACTATGTTGGCTGCCCCTTCTATAGCTAGAGGGGCTCGGCCCCCAGTTCAATGCTTAACCCCACCATCATAATCATCACATACATTTTATCATAAATCACCGTATAAAACCATAACAACCTCATCATATCAACCCATCTCATCCATCTCATCCATCTCATCCATTAAAAAAAATATATATAAATCATTTTGATCAAGGAAATGATACTAACGTATTCAAACTAAATTCAAGTAATCAAATACAATTGCTGGGTGGTATTGAAACATCCTTTATGTATGAAAATGCTTTTGTTGATTTGGTTAGTTACAATGTGTTAAGAATTAGAAACACTGAAAGTGCTGATAATGGCATTATTTCATTTGGTGTTGGTGATACACTGGATGTCTTCCAGATATTCAAGAGAGGCATAGCATCATCAGTTGCATTATCAAAATCTCAGGTTTTATGTAATTCATTTGATAGTTTTGCTGGTGATAATGATGTAGTCTTCAAAAGAAACGGGGTTGATTTTTTAGACTTCAAGGTCCTAATGTTGTGGTAAATGGTTCAGAAAATTTACTGTTGATAATTGATGGTAATGTAGGTATTTCTTCAAGTTGGATGTTTGCTAATACTTTTGCCAATAGGTCAGCAAATAGTGATACTGATTTCAGGGGTTGTATATCTGGAGGTTTAGCAAGTGGAAATGTGTATATGACTTGCAAACACGTGCCTGAAAGATTACAGATTAAAACTGATGCCAGAGTTAGTGAAGGTAAAATGTTTCATTTAAATACAACTGCTTCAAAATAATGTTATATCCATAGTTTTGTCGAAAGTAATATTAAGATATTGTCATTGGAAAATAATGATACTTCAGGTCAAAATCGTATTTACTGTATTGGTAATTTGGTTGTAGGCATGTCAGGTAGTGTTTTTACTTTTCATCAAAATACAACAGTTGTAGCGGGGAGAACTCTTAGCGGTGAGCTCAAAACACAAGTGATACAACTAAAAAAATATGACATCAAAAATGTTGAACTTAATTTTACAGATATAGTAAAGCAAATAGAACCAAAAACATTCAAACTGAAAGATGAAAAGGACCTAGGTATAACCAAAAATCACAGCGGGTCTATAGGAGGTGAGATAGAAAATCTAATACCAAAAGAATTTGAAAACATAGTCAATAAAAATGATGAAAACATCAAAATGTTAAATTATGTAAAATTAGACGCAACGCCCACCATTTGCCCCACAGTTTACATGGGGTAGGCTGGGGTGGGGTGGAATGGAGTGGGGTGGGGATGTTAACGTTCCCTCGACCATGTTCCCTCGACCATGCACAAGATGTTGATGCTGCGCTCTTATGGGGTGCATGGGGTGGGCTGGGGTGGGGATGTTATAACGTTCCTTCGGCCACGTTCCCTCGACGTTGCACAAGATGCTGATGCTACGCTCACATGGGCTGGGTGGGGTGACGCGTGGGGTGGGGTGAGGTGGATGGGGTGGGGGGTGGTGAGGTGGGGTGGGCGTGGGGATTGTCCACGTTCCTTAGATATGCTTCCTGAACCTTTGACAAGATGTTGATGCTACGCTCACTTGGGGTGGGGTGGGGTGGGATGTTAACGTTCCTTCGACCACGTTCCCTCGTCCTTTCACAAGATGTTGATGCTACGCTCACATGGGGTGGGGTGGGGTGGGCTGGGGATGTTATAACGTTCCTTCGGCCACGTTCCCTCGACCTTGCACAAGATGTTGATGCTACACCCACATTTGGGTGCGGTGGGGTGGGATGGGGCGATGATAACGCTCTTTCGACCTTGCGCTAGACTTTGATGCTGCGCCCAAGATGATCTAATTATCATGGTTTAAGGTGGGGTGGGGTGGGTGCATGTTGCAGCAATTTGCTAGGATTCTGTTAGAGCTGTTCGTTTTTGCAACGGTTTGTTAGGATTTTGTTTGAACTGTGAGTGCAACCAAAAGTGCTGGAACTGTGCAATTTGAACCGATTTTCAAGGATTCTGTTAGAAGACGACGATGATCATACCAATGATGCTGTTGATGATGATGATGGTGATGGTGATGGTGATGGTGATGGTGGTGGTGATGATGATGATGATGATGATGACGATGACGAGGACGATGACGATGACGATGACGATGACGATGACGAGGATGATGATGATGATGATGATGATGATAATGATAATGATCCTGTCGAACTCTTCCAGAAGCGCGGCAAATGGTGGGAGTTGATCGTAAAATTATCATCTGTCCTTTGGCGTGCTGTAAAAGAACAGCAAATAAAAATAGAGCATTTGGAAGCTTCCGTTTGTGAATTACAAGAAGCAATGAAAGAGTTATATAATGAAGCCTAAACCTAAAGCCACAGCTAAAAAAAATCTAAGGACAAAAAATCTAATAATTTAATATGGGAAGTAAGCAATCAACAGGTCAAAATACGTGTATGGATGAAATCAGTAATATAAATGAAGATGAGTTAGATATTAGTAAAATAAATAGTCTACAAACAACATCTATAAAAGAAATATATAATTTAATAAAATCAAATATATGGAAAGTAAAAAATCTGATAAATTATATTATAAACTACCAGCAATTCAACTTCGTAGTTGGAGTTTGGTTTTTATAATATGATTTAATGATACTATTATTAATCTGTGAATTGAATATAAGCATTAAAGTTTTTCATAAACATATTATTCAAATCTGATTGGAGAGGGTTTATATACAAAAAGTTGTGAGGTTCAACAGTGGCAACTTCTTATATCTGATATATAAGTTTTTTGTTTCTTGTAAGTTTGCTTTTCTTGGTAAAGCGCGTAATTCTTCTTGTAGTAAATCTATTTCTTTAAAATTCTGTATATAAAAGGAAAAATGAGTGGCATTTACTCTAATCAGTATATTCAGTGCATTGCATTTCTGAACTGAAGTTACAACAGAAATTCCATTGTGGCGACCTCTTACATCAACTGAGTTTAAAAGTTTGGAATATCTTGCTATTTTGGGGTCATCCGCTATATCATCCAGTACCAGCAATATAGGAAACAATTTTCTCATCTTATGTTTTTTGCTGTATTCAGTTGTTTTGTGTTGTGCGTCTATTATCTTTTCTAAATCTTGGACGTTGAATTCTTCAAACCAACATTTTTCTTTATCAGTATCCACTTTCTTTTGGTGTTTTGTGTATTTCTTAACCGGCAACCAAATACTATCAACTTCAATTGAAGGAGACCAGATAAATACCCTTTCAAATACTTTTTTGTAGATGTCTAATATCATATTTGTCAATAGCACTGACTGGCCAGAACCAGACGGTCCGGCTATAATTGCTCTGAATGGAACTTGTGGAACATTTGGATATTTTTATTGTGGGAATGTATAGTGTATTTCATCCATGGGTTGTACATTAGGTGAAATATGTTTCATTATTAATATTTAGAAAAGAATTTATATAATATATATTAATATATTATTGATATGGAACTTCATTAAAGAACAGTAAAGGACAGACTCGCAGAGGCTCGCGTGCGAGTCTAAACAGAATGAAGAAGCATACAATCCCCATAAGAAATCGTCGCCAAGTCAAGGACTTGGCGCGCCTTTAAAACATCCTAAGATTTATAATTAGATGTTATCTTATAATATTGGTAATACTATTTTACCAAACAATTTTATCTAATCATAAATAATGAGTATGAGGAAATCATCGAGAATGTTGAGACCCTTATTGAAGATGATAATAAATTTCCAGTAGTTGAAGATGGTAGAATTAAGATGCTCTTAAAGATGTTTCTTGAATTTATTAATTGTTTAATCAACTATCTAGTATATAATAATGCCACCAAAAAGACCAAAAAACAGTGAGTAAACTGAAAAAGCAACCAATCCCTGAAAATGTTGAGTTGTCATCAAATGATGAACCCACCACAGTTAATTTCAATAAAGAACAAGAACTAACCACTAAATTCATCATTTTTGAGTGTCCTATATGTAAGGGTAAATTACAGCTAAGAAATGAAATTGAAATCAACCCAAAAGGAATAACTTGTCGTTGTAATCCTTGCTCCTTCAAAACAACAAAAAATTATAATACAATGAATGTTAATAAAGATGATGAAGGGGGGGATTACATTAGAAAGCGAAGACCATTAGCATTCAATTCAGTTTCAACAGAATTACCACCCCACCAACTGAAGATGAAAAACATAGAAATGATATGATAAAAGATGTAATGAATATGGCTCCAAAGAGCCCTATAGGGTCTAAAGACCCAAATACACCACGCAGTCATTTAAAAAACTTCATTAACAGATTTAGATTAATATAATAATGGAGTTTTCAATAATTAAATAAAAATGAAGAAAAATCTAAATAAATAAATGTATATATATATATATCTTATGAAAGCTGAAGAGATTGATTCTAATAAGCCAAATATTTGAAAAAGTGAAGGGTATCAACAACTTACAAAATGTCATTCTATCCAAGTTGAATGAACTGACAGAATGTAAAGATGTTGAGGATAAGGAAGAACAGAAAAAGAAGATGGAGGAGATTTTTGAAAAAAAACTATCGGAAAGCCACGAGGTACTTGGGAACGGAAGCAACAGCAATATTTTTAAATGGTAAATTCTGGAAAAATAAAGAACCGCATAAGTAAAACTTTAGAATACTACCATATGTGTAAAAATGAAATAGGAGAATATATTATAAATATACTCCCTTCAAAATGATTTACAAAATGTCTTATGAATTTACTTACAGAAAAAACAACATAAAGCAATATATTATAATGTATAAAAACGTACATTCAAAAGACTATTCCAGTGGTAAAATCTATATCATAAGAAACAACATCAACGAAAGCACATGCAGTATATAGGATGCACTACACAAACCTTAAGTCAAAGAATGGCACAACATAGAAGCCATATCAATGCCAAAAAGAAACTTACCAATCTATCAACATTGATGAAAGAACTAGGTACTGAGAATTGTTATATAGAACTAATTTAATATTGTTGTTGTAGCACATCAGAAGAACTAAGGAAACGAGAGGGAGAATTCATAAGAGCTCAAAAACCAGATTTGAATAGAAAAGTCGAATGTAGAACCAAACAAGAGTATTACCAACAAAATCAAAATAAAAAACTAGCAAGGAGCAAAGCAATATACCAAAAGAATAGGCAGAAGTGCATAGAACGAGCCATAAGAAACCACGCAAACAATTCAAAACGATACAAAGAACAAGCCAAAAAACACTTTCAAAAAAAGCGTAAATTTCAACATCATTTTTGTTTAATATGCAACCGTTCATTGTTTGGAGGAACTAAGGCAAGGCACGAGAGGAGCAAAAAACACCAAGACAACCTTAAGCTGAAACTAGAAGAAGAGGATAAACAACGATGAGAATAAAGACCTTGTTGAAATTCAACATTTATTTCATGATGAGAAAATATAGTAAAATTTCATAATAATATTATTATTAAAATATTATTAGTGAAATTTGGTTTCTAAAAGTATCAGGGAAATTTTGGAATGTATCAGGGGATTTTCTGAAACAATCAGGGATTTTTCTGTGTCATTGCCAGATTTTTCTGCGTCATTGCCTGATTTTTCTGTTAAATGGTCTGATTTTGGCTTCAAAAATGAATTGGATAAAAAAATCAACACAGGCTATGTCCGTGGCAGTGTCAGGATTTCCTAGGTTTTCGGAAACAATCAAAAAATCCGATGTTTAATACAAGAATGGACCTATTAGAGAAATCAATAAACAAACATATAGACAGGATAAACAAAGAAGAAAATACAGAACTGGTTGAAATTCACCATACACTTTATGATGAGGAGGTATAGGTAAGTTTCATAATAATATTATGACATATTGTTAGTGAAATTTGTTGTTTTCAAGTGGATTGCCCAAAGGTTGAAGTTATCTGACAGCTACACATTACCCAAGGCTGGGTATTTTTACCCAAGGGAGCTGGGTGTTTTTGTTGTCTAGATTGCTCCATTGAGTTGTCTAGATGGTTAAACTCAATATATGAGAATTCTAAATGGTAGTGTTTTATGATGAATAAGATTAAGCCATAACATTGTAAAGTTTTTTATATAATCTATGTTGATTATCCCCATATTTCTAATAGAAAAATTCGATTAAGAATATGTTTTAAGATATTTTCTAGGAATGATGAAATGGATGAGGTAAGATGATGTATAAGCTTTGATGAAAATGTCTATATGATATATACCGATGATATATTATATACAGTAATGTTGTGTTATGATTTGGATGAGGTGGATGATATGAGTTGATATGATGAGGTTGTTATGGTGTTATATGATGACGTATGATGAAATGTATGTGATGAAGGGTGGTGGGGATGAGTATGAACTGGGGGCTGTTAGCTTTGATGAATTGTTTTGTGATGTTTTATATGGTGGTGGGGTGGTATGCTGTTGTAGAATTTGTATGTTTGCTGGGGGTGGGGATGAGTATGAATTGTATGAATTGGGGGCTGAGCCCCGCTAGCTTCTATGGCTCATTTCCTCATATTTCCTCACTAATCAGTCACTAATCCTACTAGGCTGTTTGGAAAAATGATGACCTGTAGCCCCACCTTTGGGCGAGTTCGCGGCGTGAAAAGACCTGACGGTCCCACGCACAAAGATTGGTATGGTAATGTTGCCTCCATGTGGTGTACCTCATGTGTGACCCTGGTTTCAAAAAACGTCTATGTCTGACATGTCACAAATTCTTGATCAGGTACCATATTCTCCTTGAGCGCCTTGTTTCTGCACGTTCTCCACAAAAAACAAGAAGTCTCTCAGGGCAGCTCTCACTGCCGGAGGAATCTTCTTGCGACCAGACTGATTCGACTGACAGCGACGAGACTCGTGCAACTGAAAGGCCAGCTTGGTGGCAACCTGATGCGACAGCCGTGGATTCAACAAGCGGAGCCAAAACGCTACGTTGTTCTCCTGCAGCTTTGGCAGTCTGGTGTCACTAGTCGCTTCCACCAAGACAGCTGTCTCTATGTACATCACCCGAGACCCGTCCTTCACGGATTCAGGAATCTCAATCATCTGGTTCAAAGTGTCAAGGACTGCGAGGGCGTGTAAACAGCTGTCCAAGTGCCAGTTGTCCATCTGAGACATGTCTACTTGGAAGTTTCCCTCCGCGGCTCTAGTTGCAAACTCCAGCAGCGATTGAAGTGTGTCTTTCGACTCTTTCAACTCTGCGCTGTCAATAGTTGGACGTTCAGTCAGTTGCTGCATAACCATTGTTGTTGTTGCAGCTAGGGCCTTGAACGAATCTTGGCCCACATCTATCCCCAAATTCGAGGCAGTTTTAGTCCATGCCATGATGACAGCCAGCGGTACTGACGGAGAATGAATGGTCTCATTCTCCTCTGTTGGATGTTTCCTGCGATGCATTTCTGCATCTTTGGCACAATGCATTAGCATCAAAGAGGCTGCCGACAAGGATGCGGTCGCTTCCGCTGTCAATCGCTTCAAATCCTCATCGTTCAGCTTCTCCACTGACTCCCAGTGTTCTGCGGCAAGTTGTAGGCGCTGGCACAGCACTTCAGCGAACATAGTGAACCCAGGTAGATCTGCACCTGACGCTCTACGTCGGCGTGCCAACCGTCCCAGCGCCAGCAGCATCAAGGCCAAATCGCGGGTGGTGAAGCGATCGCGGTCGCTGCCAGCGAAACGTTGGGCGTCCAGAAGGTCCAGCTGCAGATGGGCAAGGTCACAAAGCATCGTTTCGGTGCACCGAAAGATGGCTTCATCCAGACTTTCAGATGTGCCTAACCAATTCCATCCTCTGGCAATCTGTCCAAGCGCGTTCAGAGCAAGAAGTATATCGCGGCTGGTGAAAGTTTTAGCGACCTCCCCGCTGTTCAAAGCCTTTAAGCTCCCTCGTAATGCACTTCTCAGTGCAATCTCCTCTTCGCGCTCCGTAGAGTCAGGAGGGCGGTCCAGAGTAGACCTGAATCAGAAACAACAAAAGAACCATAATTTGCTTGATATTGCTTGATACTTCGAGAAGCATAAAAAAAACACAATTAAGTGATATCGTGTGACGATCTATTGGATATCTTTTTGTGCCCAAAAAAACATCGTCATAGTCATGTTCTGCCAAACTCACAATTTTGCCGCAAGGGAACGCATCAATCCGGCCCAGTGCTCTCAGCACCCGCAGCGCTGTGTCAGGCGTCTGCTCATCCCACTTGGCGTATGCCTCGAAAGCTGCCAAGCTGCTCCTGTCAAGGCCAGGTGCTCCCACGCGCCAGGAGAGGAGATTTCGAAGGGCCACATACAGCTCACGGGCTCGAAATTTGGGCATCGCCTGGAATTGTTGAGGATGCACATGACCAATCTTGAAGCTGCAGTGGTATCCAAATTCTTGAGTCATGAACCCTCCCAGCACAGGTGGCACCCGGCCTCACCCAATCGTTCTGCCACTTGCATGAAGAACTCATCGTCCAGGAGCTGTCCACGCGCTGCCAAACGAGGCAGCTCAGTAAGTTCAGCCAGAGACAATCCTGGCAGCGCAGAGGACAATTGCGCCACCATCCGATGCCGCTGCCGCGAGGAAAGCCTGAGGCACCACTCTCAGAGTCTCAGGATGAGAGAATACAGAAGCAATAAGTTGTCATGTTTATTCATGTTTTCTGGATGATGTTTTTATACACTTTGTAATTCATAATACTCCGGCATTTGCGGGGTTCTTCGGAGAACTCATTCCACATCGTGCAAAGTTGCTTACAGCCCGCAACCGTCCATTAAAAGCGTCGAAACTTGAAGAGTGGTCTTGCCTTTGCGCCATCTTCCAGTGTCTTTTTCTCTATGCTTCCCCTGTTTTCAATGGAGAAATGAAAAAATAATTGGAATCATTGGCATTTAGACAGGTGACGGCACCATATTCACCACAGCCTGCATTGCAGAGAAAGTTAAACCTGGAGCGTGTGCAGCAGCTTGGACCACAGCCTTTCACTGGATAGATTTTGGGGATTCCTTAACGGGAAACCAAACGTTTTTTCACATGTTTTTGGTGTCAACGTCCGTAAGGGGCCATGCGCGTGTTGATGCTTTTGGGGATGGGGTGGGGTGGGGGTGGGGTGGGCTGCCCTAAGAGCGTTCATTGAGCACTTCCACACATACGTCATGCTACGCTACTGTGCGTTCTCTTGCACTTCCACACATACGTCATGCTACGCTACTGTGCGTTCTCTTGCCCTTTCGCACATACGTCATGCTACGCTACTGTGCGTTCTCTTGCCCTTTCGCACATACGGCATGCTACGGTACTGTGCGTTCTCTTACCCTTTCGCACATACGTCATGCTACGCTACTGTGCGTTCTCTTGCACTTCCACACATACGTCATGCTACGCTACTGTGCGTTCTCTTGCCCTTTCGCACATACGTCATGCTACGCTACTGTGCGTTCTCTTGCCCTTTCGCACATACGTCATACTACGCTACTGTGCCTTCTCTTGCACCTTTGACATACGTCATGCTATGCTACTGTGGCGCAAAACCCACAGGCAACATCCTCGACAAACTTGGCGAACTTTCTGCTTGAAAAATAGAATCGCCAAACTTTTGCAAGAAGGACCGGGATCAAGAAATGTCAGTATCTTTGTTGTAAAACACACAATTTTCCAATTTTGAGGTAACCCTTCCATAGAAAATGAACCACAAGTTTGATGAAGGAAATTGAATATGTGCAAATTACATATATTACATCAAATGACATCAAACTACCACAGTTTTGGACACTTGATGAATCTCAATGTCACTCGCCGATGTCATCACCGACACGGCCCCTTACAGACGTTGATACCATGTGTTTAGATATTTTGACCATCAAATAATGGAATTCCCAGTGATTCCAGCTGATTTTCACTCCAACTAATTCTGGGTTGCGCCTCTGTCAATGTCAACAACCAAGGTCACCAAACCATCGCCAGATATCGCCAGAGCCAAAAGTGCTTGACCCTGATGATTGGAGCCTTAATTAATGTGGCTTAGCAATAAAACATATTAAGAATTATTATCCGCCGACCCCGGCTGCGCAAGGGGGAGCGCGAAAAGGAAAAAGAGTTTGTGACACAGCAGGGGTAGCTAATCCGCCGACCCCGGCCGACGCAAGGGGGAGCGCGCCAGGGAATAAGACATTTTCCGCCGACCATTTGGAAGCTTGCAACAGCAGCAGCAACAGCAGCAGCAGCAGCAGGCAGCAGCAGGCAGCAGTAGGCAGCAGTAGGCAGCAGCAGGCAGTCACAAAGCCATGCAGCTTGTACTTATAAGGGTAAGCAGCAGGCAGGCAGCAGCAGCAATATGATGTTTCGCAGTCCGGGGCCCGCGTTTTCGTAGTCTAGGATTCCCGAAGAGATTCTCTAGGATTTAGGATTCTCTAGGTAGCAGCCAGCAGCAGCGAGTAGCCAGCAGGGCCAGCAGTCAAGAAGCAGGTAGCATCATCATCTTCTCTGGTAGATCTTGGCAGTGCTCTTGCAGCTCGTCAGCCTTAGATGCTAGGAACGTGGGTGACCCACCTGGCTCACCTGCCCTTGAGACAGCAGCAAAGCTCCCTGATTCGACCCTGCCACATGCAATCAGCAGCCAGGACTCAGCATCCGGGGGCTAGCCTTGTTTATAGAGCAGTTTCAGACGACACGTTAGGCAGTTTTTGGTCACTTTTTCCTGGCTCATCCGTCCTTCAGTGCCATGGTGTTTTCCCGTCCGGGACCTACGTTTTTGCAGCAGCCAGCGGCAGGAGCAGCTAGCAGCCAGCAGCAGAGTAGCCAGCAGTCAAGAAGCAGCTACCGGGCTAGCCTTGTTTATAGAGCAGTTTCAGACGACACGTTAGGCAGTTTTTGGTCACTTTTTCCTGGCTCATCCGTCCTTCAGTGCCATGGTGTTTTCCCGTCCGGGACCTACGTTTTTGCAGCAGCCAGCGGCAGGAGCAGCTAGCAGCCAGCAGCAGAGTAGCCAGCAGTCAAGAAGCAGGTACCGGGCTAGCCTTGTTTATAGAGCAGTTTCAGACGACACGTTAGGCAGTTTTTGGTCACTTTTTCCTGGCTCATCCGTCCTTCAGTGCCATGGTGTTTTCCCGTCCGGGACCTGCGTTTTTGCAGCAGCCAGCGGGAGGAGCAGCCAGAGCAGCCAGCAGCAGAGTAGCCAGCAGTCAAGAAGCAGGTAGCAGGCAGCCAGTCGTCAGCAGCCAGGACTCAGCATCGGGAGGCAGCCAGTCGTCAGCAGCCAGGACTCAGCATCCGGGGGCTAGCCTTGTTTGTAGAGCAGTTTCAGACGACACGTTAGGCAGTTTTTGGTCACTTTTTCCTGGCTCATCCGTCCTTCAGTGCCATGGTGTTTTCCCGTCCGGGACCTACGTTTTTGCAGCAGCCAGCGGCAGGAGCAGCCAGAGCAGCCAGCAGCAGAGTAGCCAGCAGTCAAGAAGCAGGTAGCAGGCAGCCAGTCGTCAGCAGCCAGGACTCAGCATCCGGAGGCTAGCCTTGTTTCTAGAGCAGTTTCAGACGACACGTTAGGCAGTTTTTGGTCACTTTTTCCTGGCCCATCCGTCCTTCAGTGCCATGGTGTTTTCCCGTCCGGGACCTGCGTTTTTGCAGCAGCCAGCGAGTAGCCAGCAGTCACGAAGCAGGTAGCAGGCAGCCAGTCGTCAGCAGCCAGGACTCAGCATCCGGGGGCTAGCCTTGTTTATAGAGCAGTTTCAGACGACGCGTTAGGCAGTTTTTGGTCACTTTTTCCTGGCTCATCCGTCCTTCAGTGCCATGGTGTTTTCCCGTCCGGGACCTACGTTTTTGCAGCAGCCAGCGGCAGGAGCAGCTAGCAGCCAGCAGCAGAGTAGCCAGCAGTCAAGAAGCAGGTAGCAGGCAGCCAGTCGTCAGCAGCCAGGACTCAGCATCCGGAGGCAGCCAGTCGTCAGCAGCCAGGACTCAGCATCCGGGGGCTAGCCTTGTTTATAGAGCAGTTTCAGACGACACGTTAGGCAGTTTTTGGTCACTTTTTCCTGGCCCATCCGTCCTTCAGTGCCATGGTGTTTTCCCGTCCGGGACCTGCGTTTTTGCAGCAGCCAGCGGCAGGAGCAGCTAGCAGCCAGTAGCAGCGAGTAGCCAGCAGTCACGAAGCAGGTAGCAGGCAGCCAGTCGTCAGCAGCCAGGACTCAGCATCCGGGGGCTAGCCTTGTTTATAGAGCAGTTTCAGACGACGCGTTAGGCAGTTTTTGGTCACTTTTTCCTGGCTCATCCGTCCTTCAGTGCCATGCTGTTTTCCCGTCCGGGACCTACGTTTTTGCAGCAGCCAGCGGCAGGAGCAGCCAGAGCAGCCAGCAGCAGAGTAGCCAGCAGTCAAGAAGCAGGTAGCAGGCAGCCAGTCGTCAGCAGCCAGGACTCAGCATCCGGAGGCTAGCCTTGTTTCTAGAGCAGTTTCAGACGACACGTTAGGCAGTTTTGGGTCACTTTTTCCTGGCCCATCCGTCCTTCAGGGAGCAGCTAGCAGCCAGCAGCAGCGAGTAGCCAGCAGTCAAGCAGCAGGTAGCAGGCAGCCAGTCGTCAGCAGCCAGGACTCAGCATCTGGGGGCTAGCCTTTTTTATAGAGTAGTTTCAGACGACACGTTAGGCAGTTTTTGGTCACTTTTTCCTGGCCCATCCGTCCTTCAGTGCCATGGTGTTTTCCCGTCCGGGACCGACGTTTTTGCAGCAGCCAGCGGCAGGAGCAGCTGGCAGCCAGCAGCAGAGTAGCCAGCAGTCAAGAAGCAGGTAGCAGGCAGCCAGTTGTCAGCAGCCACGACTCAGCATCCGGGGGCTAGCCTTGTTTATACAACAACAACAACAACAACAACAACAACAACAACAACAACAACAACAACAACAACAACAACAACAACAACAACAACAACAACAACAACAACAACACACAACAACACACAACAACACACAACAACACACAACAACAAACAACAACACACAACAACACACAACAACACACAACAACACACAACAACACACAACAACACACAACAACACACAACAACAACAACAACAACAACAACAACAACAACAACATCAACAACAACAATAACAACAACAACAACAACAACAACACCAACACCAACACCAACACCAACACCAACAACAACAACAACAACAACAACAACAACAACAACAACAACAACAACAACAACAACAACAACAACAGAATCCGTCGAAAATCTGTCGAAAAATGCTGTTTTTCTAGGATTTCAGACGACACGTTAGGGAGTTGTTTGGCGCGGTTTTGGAACTAGCTCGTCCTTCAGAGGCATGGTGTTTCCCTGCCGGGAGGTGATTTTTTCGAAGCTGTTTTACTGCTAGCAGCCGCAGGCAACAGAATCTGTCGAAAATCTGTCGAAAAATGCTGTTTTTCTAGGATTTCAGACGACACGTTAGGGAGTTGTTTTGGCGCGGTTTTGGAACTTGCTCGTCCTTCAGAAGGCATGGTGTTTCCCTGCCGGGAGGTGATTTTTTCGAAGCTGTTTTACTGCTAGCCGATTCTTCCGGGGTCGGCGGCAGG